TATTGATGAATGCCTCCCTATTGAACTTGATGGAATGCTACTAGGAGGTGTATTTTCCATTAATAATGTGAAATCATTACATATTATTTGAGTTATACTGTTAACTTGATCAACTGGATGAGCCAACCCATAGTAGAAGTATAATGACATACCACAAACCGTAGACACTTCAACAAATATGGCATATATTTCTGTAATAGACTCTAAATTTTTATTTTGAGCATCAACCATCATAACAACATCGTCATCATTGGAGAGATTGAACGTTATATATGTTAATGGAAAATTTTCAGTCGAAAATCTATACAAAAGTGAAGATAGTATTCTAGTACTTCCAACACGAGCCTTCCTTAATTAACTCGTCAAGAGTGATGTTTCTCTTGAAGGTTAAGGAGATATAATGATCTGGTTAGAAAAAAACTATAACTTTATCTTCTCAAATTTCTCCATCATAGTAAAAAAAACTCAAGTTATTGAATTGAAACACTAAAATATATTTTTAGATTTTTTTCTTCAAGTGAGACTAAAATAACTTTCAACTCGCACATATTTATAGGCCCTAAAGAAGCGCTTCCTGTAACAGTTAATTAAATTATATCGATGTCTCCTTCTTGAATGTGTTCCACAGGGCGATGGTTGTCTATTTTGATGAGGGTTTCTTCTTATAGGTTGGTATTTCTCTTCACTCTCCTCGTCATCCTCATCATCATCATCATCACCAGCACTAGCTATATTTTATTGATTAGGGATGAATGACGATGCATGATCTGCATAGAAGAAGGACACTGTAAGTGTATAACTAACCATCCCACCGCTTAATGAAAAATTGTGAAAAAACTGACATCGATGTTTACGATCTATACTTAGCTAAAGGTGTTTATGGTGAATCACCACTCGCCAGATAATTAGCATATTAAGCAAATGTTGGATCAATAAGCATGGCCGTATAATATCGGCCAAGGGGTGTCATAAAACCCTAGGAGCTCTATACGTAACCATATGGTGGTGGCATCTAAACCGACTGCGGTGGCATCTGAGCCGAAGGTGTACCCATATAAACTGGCGGGCTTGGGATGTAACCTGATGGGCTAATAATCAGTTGTGATTGTGGATGTTGTGATGGTTCTGGTGGCACTGCTGAGGATGAGCCAAAAGCTCATGCTCTTCATCCATGAGTGGGGGACGATGACGCTATAACAGTGGATTCTTTCTCGGCGACAATGAATTTATCCACTCATGCTCTCTTCAAAAGTAAGAAAGGCTTCCCATTTATGTTATACCATTTAATAGTCATATGAAATCGAGGAACCAATATCTGATATATATTGTTGATGGGGCAAGCGTAGATATCAGTTCTCCCACATCGTTATCCAATATCTATGCTTCACTTCACATTTAACCTCTTTTTTCCTCGTCTATCAATGTTATGCATATTATCGAGATTTCTGGGTGCTTAAGGAATATATTGTGTGAAACTAAACTGGCAAAACACAAAATCAGTCGGATGTCACTCAACAATAACATAACAAATAAAAGGCACTACCTCCACCCATACGTTCAATTTCCCACTCAACTCAAGTGGGATGCAAGCCCTCATTTCATTGTTCAAATAGGGCAACCATTGGAATTAAAACAAAATATATATATCTCTTATCAAAATTAAAATAAGATTCTAATTATATAAATATAATTAAATAAAAAAAATTAAATTTAAAAGCGTACCTCTAAACCAACTTTTTGATCAAAGAGTAATCTAATATCTTGTAATTCATCAGGGATATCACAATGACTTTTTCTATTTGATGACCACTTATTTAATATAAAAATTTGTGTCATTCTATAATAAAAAATTACTAAAAATTTAGTATTAAAATTACTTGCATAATAATGGATAGTCAAATGCCTTAGATTGGAGAAGAATGAGACAGTTGTAATAGTAGTTTTACTATACTTCGTCGCCTGACACATTTCTCTAAAAAAAGCCAAAAACTATATAGCCCTAACTCAACGTGTCGACTACTTCAAAATCGATGAGATGCCGCAACAACATACAATGGACCTGGTTGCAAGATTTGTGAGACATCAATATCCCTCCAATGATTCGTAATATGTATGGCCTAACAAATGCCTCATCCTCAAAACAATTTTTGTCAAACTCTTTAAAATTAGATTGCAGCCACGATAATGTTATTCGACCGCCATTGAAATCCATCGGGGAAGCTCCAAGATATTCCAGGCACAGAGAACTCCAATCACCATCTGCCACACTACAAATAGCAGTTCCATCTACCAGGAGCCCCAACTGCATTGATGTTAGACTATGCCGAAAGACCAATCATATGATCGTAATGATACATTTTATTTACTGATTTTATTGAATAAAGGTATTGCCACTATTATTTTCAGCTATATATATGTGTTTAATATAAATTGAAAGATAATAAAGTCTATATAATAATATAATTATTATTATTAAAATATCCATAGTCAAATATTATTATGGGAATGGACAATAATAATATGCTTAAGACTAACATGTTATTGATTGATGACAACAATTTATCATTGACATAGAGATGTCATAATTGATACATGATTATATTGTTAGAGAACAATGTATTGGATTGACCTACCATGAGCATATGTCTTGGATTATTATGTGACGATCATAACATTGCTCATGGTGATTACTATATGTATGATCCTTAGACTTGAGATCAATGTTATCCTAACATATATTGTTGTATGTTTTGATACAGTTAAACATGCTCCGTAACTCGTTGCACTATAAAGACTGTTATTGAATATATATTGATTTATGTAGTGTGGTGTGTATGATTAAGATATGATTTGTCCTTCCTACATAATATGGTATATATCACATGTCACTTGATTGAATGAGACTAGAAATTCATGGCCATACTTGAATAAGTTGATATGAGATATCAAAAATTATTCGTTAATTATAGTTTATTCTAGATATCAAGAAACAATAGATGAACTATGCACGTGTGACTATTCCAAGACTTGTACCTATTCTAGATATAAAGGACAAAATGATGTAATACATAAAAGAGCTAATCACGAAGATGGTTTATTGATTCATAATTTCTTATAACTTAGGTGACAATGATATATTGCTAGATGTCACTCATTGTACGTAATATTAGAATTGTTCTAATAATTACTACAAACGTTACAAGAACCTACAAGGTCACACCCTAAGATTGAAATGAGCAAAGATGTACAATTTGTTGTACCTTACTAAAATATATCTAGAGTTAATATATGTATATTTGATATTCATATGATTTTAATTACCCCGAATGTAGTAAGTAAATATTAAAAGAATGTAATTCTGATTACAACTATTTTAATGAATATTTAATTCGGAATAATAAACATTAAAGAGTGTAATATGGAATAGTAAGTATTTAATGGATATTTAATTTGAATTAATTAAATAAGAATTTAATTAATTCGAAATAAAAACTGCCTAATATGTTAGGGTAACTCAGATATTTAAAAGGTGTGTAAGGTCTAGCAGCCGTGACTACTTCAGCTGTTTTTCTCAAAATTGTTTTTGGGAAAAGTAAATTTTGCTCTCAATCGGGTGAACTGAGTAGAGGTCGAGACTGTTTTCGTAGAGGCTTACGATTCGAACCGTTCGTGATCTCCATTAGTCGTTACTATTTTTGTTGTTTTTCAAGGAATCCAATGTAAGTATTTGCATCATTTCCTCCCGATTTCGGTTTTTGTACTTGGATCACTCGTGAGATCGTTGAGTTTTGATTTCGTTGCGCCATGGGGTACGCTGACGGTTCCAACAATTAAAGCATCCTCCAAGGTAATGGTTCACTCCTCACATGATAGATGGAACGTGTGTGTCTCTGGTCTCCACCTCTTGATTAGTGCAGAAATGAGGGTGGGTTCGAGTTTACAACCTCCAACAATTTTGGCTATGTAACCAAATCCAGCCTTAGATAAATACCGCTAGATACGATGCCATGTGTTCATCTTGTTGCTACGAATTAAAACTTCTAATATACGACCAATTTTATATTCTTACCATATTAGCAAAATGACTTGAAATATGATCAACATCCAATCGTAACATCTCGCCTTCCATTTTTATAACTACAGATAATAACACAAAAAATTAGTTTTTACAATTAAGTAATAAAATAATAAGAATTTATTGACTAAAAAATAATAAATATATGTACACCTTAAGGATAAGAAAAATGAGAAATATGATTGATTTTACGAGTGATTTGTTAAGAGATGGGAAGATGTTTATATAGGAGAAGGGAGGGGAAACAGCAGGAAAAGGGGCGGGAGAGGGCGGAGGGAAGGGGAATCCGCACCCCTTGCAATGCGCCTTCCGCGTGGCACGAAAACCTGAAAAACGCGCGCCTCTAAGAAGCACCTTCCAGTGTGGTAGCCAATTCGACAGCATATGTATTTATTGCAGCACACCTTTGGTTAATATTGTTAAATTTAAATTATAAATATTATTTTATAAAATATTAAAACAATCAAATAATTTTTTGTGCAAATGAAATTATTAAATTAATATTGTAGGTGGAAAACATAAAACACTATTAAAAATTGAAACATAAATTACATAACTTTAAAAAAAGTATAGATCATTTTTATAAAAAAAAATATGAACACTTTCAATATATTATAATGTAATAGGTAAATTTGTAATTTTATCGGTATAAATATATCGGTTTAGTTATAAAATAGGTCAATATAAGCGCTACATATTACATATATAAGCGCTACCTAATATGTTATTATACTTTATAATATTTCTGATTAAATAATATAAGATAACCAATCTAAATTTTAACCGATCACTTATTTAATCGATCACATCGTATATTAACCGTTTTATAAGCGCCCCACCGCATAACTACCCCGCCCTCGTACTCCTCACTTATTTATAAAATTTCTGTCTAAATTCTAAAGTCTTCGTCCCCAGAAAAAGGAAAATGGAGAATAACAACAAGAACACGGGTGAACAGCTGAAGCCCATGCATAAAAAGCATGTTTTTTTGTTTTACTGCGTGGAATGTGAAGAACTTGCCCGTAAAGTTGCTGCTCACTCCCACCTCATTACCCTTCAATCTATCAACTGGAGGTATACTCACTTCTTCGAAACCTTTCTCTTCTTTAGATTCTTTCTTCTTCTTCTTCTTTGCATTTCTTAAGGTGGGTGCTTTTTGTTTTGTTTAATCTGTTTGTAGAAAGCTTGAATCTTTAAGGTTATGGTCAGATTGGGTGTTGGGATAAGTGGCAGAGAATTTCATGAACTAGTTTATAGCATAGCATTTGTTTTTTTGTTTTCTTTTAGAGAGAAAATAGAAAAGCTTTGCTTTTTACTTGGATGTGAATTCATGGGTTCTGTTTGCTTTTTTGCCACTTTCTTCATTCTTGCCTTTGTGTGTTTATTTCCGGGTTCTGTATATTTTCCTTTCAGTATACCAATTCATGCCATTTGCAAATGTAGTTCTTAGAACTTTGTGGGAGCCAATGACTGGTAATCTTTGATTCAAAGTTCCTGTTTGGCAATAGACTTGAGATAACTGGGTCCAACTCAGTCAGCTCTAAACCCACTCATATGTTGGTCAACTCTCACCAATTGTACAATGAGTTATTTTCATGTTTTACCTTGTCCCAAAGGACATGTTAACCTGTCTATGTTCTTACTTTCAAGCCCTTCATTGAAACTGAGCCAAAAATGATGATATGTGCAAACTCCTTTTTTCCTTTCCGGTTGTTTCGACCCCGATACACCTCTCCCGCTAACAAACACTGTTACAATTGCATCCATGATTCCGTTGAGATATATGTTATTATGAAAAATAATCGTTACAGTCGATAATTCTTTTTCTGTTCTAGAATTGGCCTCAGTAAGATATTTATTAATAGTTTTGAACAAAGAGTGTTTCTATATGAAGGAGAACTACTGAACTTCTTTCACTGACAGGAGCTTTGATGATGGATTTCCAAATCTTTACATAAACAATGCACTTGATATCCGAGGTCAACATGTTGCTTTTCTTGCATCCTTCAGCTCCCCAGCTGTTATCTTTGAACAGCTTTCCGTCATATATAATCTTCCCCGATTGTTTGTCGCTTCCTTCACTTTGGTGTTGCCGTTCTTTCCAACTGGCTCCTTTGAGAGAATGGAAGAAGAAGGAGATGTCGCAACTGCATTTACCATGGCAAGGATTCTGTCGAACATTCCCATATCTAGGGGTGGGCCTACATGCGTCGTCATTTATGATATCCATGCTTTGCAGGTTTGTTATTATTTTTTAGAGAAAATGATTAACATATATTTTCCTTTGTTACGATATTTATATATTTATTGACATTGCTCAAGTGATTTATCAGATCCATCTGGAAAGTTTCATCTAATTTCAAGTCGTGTTTCTTATCTACCAAGATATCTTAAATCGGTCACTTCTGTTGCTCTTATTGTACTAAGCATGATATCAAAATGTTTTTGCTTCAAAAACTTAAAAATGGCTTTATGTTTTAGTCAATGCCCTGCTCGAATCGATAACTGCAGTTTTAACAGTTTGTCATTAAGATGCCTATTCTTTCTGTTTTCATTTATTATGTTGATATGTCTCATAGAACGAAGCTTGGGACTTCGACTCGAACCTAAATAGTCTGAGCAGGTGGAGAGAAAAAGCTTTTATGCAAATCTGCATGCATTAGTATGGCAAATGTGTAGACTTGCATTTTCCCCATAATTTCCGATATAAGCTGATAAGTCCGGAAATGTAAGCCTTTGATCAACAAGAAATAATGCAACTACTAGTGATCAAATATTCAGATTGTTGAATTTGGTATTTTAATCTCTGACCTTTATGGACAGTTCTGAGCAAAAACTAAGGATTGTTAACATTAATGTTATCGGCAACGTGGTTCATTGTTGGCTGTGGATTCGTGATTGATTCCAAGTTGTCTTTAATTAAAAATATGTGTTCATGCATTTTAATGTGGATCCAATGCGCAAAAATGGTGTTCACCTATGTACATGATTTATTTTTGTGATTCATGAGTTGAAAGACGGAGTTATCATTGGTTGGTTATATGGTTTTCTCACCAACACATCGGTTTAGGAACACGAGGATTCTTTTATTTCTTCTCACCAATATGGTTGGTTATATGAGTTCAAAGAAACATCAAAGGACAGGCTTGTGTTTTGTCAGTTTACGTTATCAATTTTGATACAGTATGTCCCTAAACAATGGCTTGCTTTGGTTATCATGTGTCTTTCATTAGGAGATTTGATCTTTATTTGTTAAGTTTCATTTTGATATAGGAAAGATTTTATTTTGGGGACCATGTGTTGCCGTTATTTGAGACCGGGATTTCGCTTCTAAAGCAGCGTCTTCATCAGCTTCCTGATGCTGATAAGGTAAGTATGTCATCTCGTAATGTTGATGCTGCTTGTTAGAGCCATCTTCTACACAATTTTTCCTAACTTAATGCCATTAACGTTTCTTAGGAATGGTCCCTTATTCTAGTTTGTTACACCCCCTTGAATTGAATTCAATTTGTTTTTCAGATAGTCGTTGCATTTCCTGATGACGGAGCTTGGAAACGGTTTCAAAAATTATTGGATAATTTTCCGACGGTCTGTTTTGAATCTTACGTTTTAAGTCTCATTATATTTTGTTCCAGTCTATTTTATGTAGATTGAAAGTACATGGTAATTGATTGGCAGGTTATCTGCACAAAGGTTCGCGAGGGTGACAAGAGGATAGTTCGACTCAAAGAGGGCAATCCTGCCGATTGTCATGTGGTGATCGTTGACGACTTAGTGCAATTGGGAGGCACTCTCATCGAGTGCCAGATACTTCCATTCCGATAACCTCTTCATCTATACTTCTTATTCTGCTCTTGGAAGTCGGTGCCATGCCTCAACATTCGGACGTAACACGATCACATACATATATGTGCCTGATTTGTTGGTTCATGGAACTTGGTTCTTCCTGCAGAAAGTTCTGTTAGCTCATGGAGCGGCAAAGGTGAGCGCGTATGTCACTCACGGTGTTTTCCCGAAGTGTTCCTGGGAGCGGTTTACGCGAAAGGAGGATGGTAAGTACTTGCTCGTGTTCATGTCGTGTGTCGGATTCGACTTTTGTGGGTGCTGGTTGGCATGTGATTCTTTCATATTGCAGAGCAGGGATTTGCATACTTTTGGATAACAGATTCTTGCCCCCACACGGTGAAAGCCATTGAAAACAGAGCTCCTTTTGAAGTTCTAAGTCTTGCGGAATCTATTGCAGATGCTCTACAAATTTAAAGACAAATTCCATGAGTCTTCATATTAGCCATTCATGTCATTTTAATCAATTAAAAAAAACACTGATTTAGATATTTCTAGTGGTTTATCAGAACATATTATGTTTACTCTTCAATGCATCTAGTCTGAAATGAGGATATAAATGTCATTTAATATTAAAAAATTAGTACTAATTTAAATTATTGTTTTTTTATTAATTTAAGGGTTATTATAAGATAATATATGTTTGAAACACTCTCAATTCATTTAACAATGAATGTTCAAACATCATTGATATTAGATGTGCTCGGACCTAGAATCTTTAGAGATACTAATCATCTCTTTAATCATTAAGATAACTTGATCCGTGTATTATTTTTCTAGTAAATAATTGGTGAATAAAATAAGGCATATCGTAAAGTTATTGGTCTAATTTTAGCATATAAATTCATTTAACAATGATTGTTCAAACATCATTGATATTAGATGTGCTCGGACCTCGAATCTTTAGAGATACTAATCATCTCTTTAATCATTAAGATAATTTTAGCATATCATAAAGTTCTTGGTCAAATTTTAGCATATAAATTTAGATGGTGTTTGATAAGCTCAAAGTTGTCATTTTAAAATTAGTATATAAATAGTTTGAAATTTAATATATAAATAATTGTGTTTGTAATATACGTATGTTGATATTATTTTATAATTATTTTAGATTATATAGAAATAATTAATAAGATTCATTACAGGTAATAAAGTATTGACAACTTAAATATAAGTAGACATAATATTCTAGAAATGATGAGCCACGATTAAAAAACTCGTGCAGTGATTTGATATAAAGAATTGCTCCAGACTTATTAATTAAAAAAATTGCTCCCAACTTATGAATAATTTTTGTAACTGTGTAGTTATACTATGATATTTGATCTTAAAGTATATAATTCTATGTGGTTTATGAGAACATATCTATTTTTTTGATCGCGTATAACGAGAGATTATCTAAATATTTGAAATATGTATAGTTTAGTTCAATTATACCTTGTAAAATAGTTAGACTCAGTTTAGTGTTTTTGAGCTTGAGTTGGGCCTAAGAGTTAATTGGAATACATGGATCAATTGATAAATAATTCTAGAATTTTCGTATACAATTATTACTAAAGTTTTGATTTGTTTTTATATATATATTTCAAGATAATGGGGGAAGTGAATGATTGAGTACATGGATTGATTTGTTTTTATATATTTTAAGATAATGGGGGAGTGAATGATTGACTACGGGGATTGAAAATTAAATATTTTTCTATTCAAAAATAATGGAACCACTAATGAATAAGATATTTTAGATTTTTATTCATGAGATTCATATAGTGAGTCAATGCTTTGTTTCCTGAAGAGAACTCAATCAAACCATTATTATGGTTGAATTTAGTAGCTTATCAATCGATCCCAGAAGTGGGTTTTGTTCTTCAAATTCGACTTTCTACAACAAACGCACTCCATTTTCACTTCCATCCAACCGCTTCCTCGACATCATTACGTTTCTTTCATCTTATCCTCACCATGGCAAAACCGTCTTCGTCGAAGCCACTTTCGGCCACCAAATCTCATTTTCCGAAAGTTTAGCGAATGGTTGATTCCGTTTCCACGTGTTTATCGAGTTTGGGTAAAAGGATAGGCGACATCATTCTAATCATCACACCGAATTCCATCTTCTTCCCCATCGTATGCCTCTCCGTGATGCATCCTGGAGCGATTATAACCACCGGCCAACTCGTCCCGAAGCTGGCTGGATTAGGTATTCCCGTCATAATTTTTGACGATTAGCCAGTGATGATTGAAGTCACCGGCCAAGTTAAAATATTAACTACTCCAGAGGAAACCCATATCTGCACCGTTCCCATGTTCCACATATATGGATTCGGAGCTTTCGCCATCTGGAAACTCGCGAACGGAACCAAGGTCGTGATTTTATCGAAGTTCGACATGAATGAAATGTTGTCGGCGGTGAAGAAGATGGGAGCTCAGTTTAGTGATGATGTCGAAAGCAATTGATTCCGCCATTACTTGGTGCTGCTGCTTCGAACTGAAACTAATGCAAAGTGTTAGGAAGTGATTTGGAGAAGATGAAATGCTCTTCGTTTTTGTGTGCATGTGAGCGCACTAATAAGGTTTATTAAGCATGAAAGAATGAAGGAAATAAGTAAAGCATGAAGGTTAGAGAGAGCACGTGGGTTGTAGGAAAATTTTAATAAAGGATGAAGGGTAAATCACAACAGGAGTCATCCAAGTTTGGTGAGAATTCAACCTTGTCTTTTATTTTCGTTATAATTATGAATGCTGTCTAATAGTTTGAATAATATTATTTTGGTCACTTGCCTTGGTAGTTAAGTATTAAATTGGCCCTTTGAGTTCTTAATTTTGTTAGTTATGTCCCTCTATTACATAAAGGATTTTTAATAAGTTATTTTTATGGCTAGGAAATTTATTTTGGATTTGAGTTCGTATATTTAAAGGTCCGGGTTCTTGACAAAAAGATTAGAAGCTAGAAATTGAGTTGGTGACCTTAAATTCAAGAGTTATTGATTGGGTTTTGTCGACATCTTGAGCTCGATTTCGAAGTCCGTTTCGCCAAATTTGAACCCGATAAGCTGTTTTTGACTGATTTATCACCCGATTCGATCTGTTTTTCGGAATTAAGCTTTATTTTTTATGTAATTTCTGTTGATATGCATCTGAGGAATTATTGGAAGTTGAATTAAGGAACGATGACGTTCAAATGAAATTTAATGGTCAATCAGTATGACACGAAAATCGAGGTAATACATTACTACCTTTTTATGCTTTATAGAACCTGTTGGTATTGGTAAATGCATGAATAGGAATGTTTGGTCTCATATGTGTAATTAATGAAGTTCTACACTCGATACGAATGCGGTAGAAAGTAGGTAACTGAATATGGCTCAGATGACTATTATAAGAATTGGAGGACAGTTGGAATTAAATTACAGGTTCTGGAATTAAGTGATAAAGGAATCAACCATGTATATGTAGATTATAATTTATCTCATTAAAGGTACTTGGATGATAAATTAAGAGAATATTTCGATTAGGTAAAATTATGAAAATACCTCTATGTTGTAAAATGATAAGAATTGTTCCTGGAAGTTGATTAATAAATCTGAAAAGACTTATTGATCTGATAAAACTACAGATGGGTATAAGAAATGCTAGTTTGCTTAGAAAATTTGGATAATTAGTTTTTAACTCCAAGAGGGTTTGTGCAAGATACTAGAAGTCCGTTAAGGGAATCATTTCAAGATCAGAGAATGTTCAAGAAATCAATTAATCATAGGATCTCTAAATTATATTATTTTTGTTAAGAGTTATTACCGAAATTATCTGGTTAAGAAATTACAAAAATGCCATTGAGAGGTAAAAATAGTCCGAGTTGACCCTGAATGAGAAAGTACTTTGAGGATTCGTACTTAACTCGATAAATTACGTATTTAATTTGTAAGATTCTGTCTTTGTATAGAAAATTCCTGATAACATGTTGGTAACTTCTGAGAAGACAATTAACCTAAAAATCTCTGAGTTAAGAATAAATTATCGAGGGTGCTCTTATGTCAGAATTGTTCGAAAGGTCTGGAAAAGATGATACATTTGAATTAAATAATAAGATCATATAGGATGAAATGATTGAAATACACCAGATCTGTAAAATGACCAAAATACCCCTACAATAGAAATAACCCAAGAATATCACCAAGCTCAGGAATGATTCTTCGAGTTTTGAAATGAATAGACTAAAACTGAGCACCATAATTACCAAAATACCCTTATGGCCTAGACTAAGTAGATGTTTTGGATTAATTAAGGAATCCAAGTAAATATGGGTGTTGTATTACCCTTAAAAGTTATGGATCACAAATTAAGTGAGTTGATCAACCTTAATGATATATCAGTACCTGACTTGCACAGATATTACTTGAATGAGTGTTCATCTACTCAAGTTTGGCTCGATGATAATTTTTGGAAGTATTCAGCTCAGCTCAACTCTAGATCGCGTTAAGCACTAAGAATTGGATATTTGTTCGACAAATCAACCACGAAGACCGAACTAAATTAAACGGAAGTACAATATGTATCCGAAATTCAGAGACATCCAAATTAATCTGGAAAACTCTGAAGTAACTGGAATGGATTTGACTACTAAATGAAATAAGTAACCTCAATGACTAAGAATTTAATAAGTGATTTGGATGAGTCTGGAAACATTAATGAACATACACGATGTATTGTTCTTCTGGGTCATGAATTACAAATCAAGCACGGCATCATTTTATGATATTGTGGAAACGTGAAAATGAAATAAATACATTGAAAGATCTATTCAGCGATGATTCCAAATATGATCTCTAGACTAGAATTTTTGGTATTAAAGAGTAAATACCCTGGAAGGGTAATGAATTGACTAGTCGATAAGTATCAGTTCTGGGAGTTGTTCAGCTCGAATTATTCGATATTCCGATAGATCGACACAAATTGTAAATGTTCTGAGTCTTCGTTTCTTCCTTATCAGCTCAATTCACATTCTGAATAACTAATGATTCTGTCAGTTAATGAACTTTTCCAATAGTGATTCTAAATTCCAACATTCTATCGACATACTGAATATATGTGTTTTTCTACTCGATAAGATTATCCAGTATCTCTGAATAATATCTGTAAACTCTGGTGTGTTCCCTAATCATATAAATATTTTATCTGAATTCCGATTTGAATTATTTTCTGATACATTACCTGAATTTTGTTCTGATTTCTGATATGGGTTCTGTTCTGATATTTGATCTGAATTCTGTTTTGACTTCTGATATCTCTGTTTACCGATGGAGAAATGTTTTATCTGGGGGTTTATTGTTGGAGGAAGATTATCTATAGACTCCTCGGCTTTGTGCTCAGGGTCTAAATGGCATGTGCGGTTGGGTGTATGGTTTTGGAGAACCTACATATTTATGATGTAAACGGAT